CAGAGGGAGAAGCAGGCTTCCCGCCTAGCAGGGAGCCTGATGCGGGACTCGATCCCAGGACCCTGGGATCATGACCTGAGCCGAAGGCAGACACTTAACCGTCAGAGCCACCCAAGCGCCCCCCAAAAATCCAGCTCTCTTGATCACCACCTACTTCAGCTAGTCAATGCCGCTCCCTGGGGAAGTCTGGGGAGCTCGCCATCCCACAAGGTCAAGGGCTGTCTCTTGAAGTTGGGGGCTCTATTTTACCTATCTGCCACAGGGGAAAGGTACCCACCCTTTGGCTCACTCAAGGATAAGAACAGTGTCTGGTTGCTCTGGGCTAAAATTTGTGCTTTGTTGGAAACTTCTTTGCGCAAATCCAACACTAGCAGAAGGCCCCACACCTCTTTCAGCCTTTTCTATCCGTAGGCACACCCGCATTCCTTCCTTCCTTTCTCTTTCTGAGATTAGACATTAGCTGCTTCAGTTTACTTCAGATTTAATTTTTGATGCCTAGTAAGAAAAATGAAAATGGGGGAAAACAAAAAATGGGAGTACAAGAATTTCTTTCCTAGTATGATATTTGTAATTTGGGAGTGGCAGCACACACACCTCTCCTCACAACATAACTCTGTAACTTCACTGTTTGTTTCTCTTTACTAGGTTTACGTATTATTTTTACCCTTGATGAGGTGGCCTTCATCCAGAATCTTGTTTTTTACATAGAAGCCGCATATAAAGTCGCTGTAAGTATCAACCCTGGTAGTTTTTCAGGTATAAAGTCACTGTAAGTATCAACCCTGGTAGTTTTTCAGGTGTCCCAGTTCAAAAGAATAAAAATCATACAGGTCTTGGAGGGCCAGGCTGTTTGGGGCTGATCAGAAAGTTAGCAAGATTCGAGCTCTAAGATTGTCACCTCTGCACACAAAGTACACATTTTTGTCCTGGGACCCAGTTGAGGAGTTGATGTTTTTGGAATGCACCACATGCTCTGTTTGACTCCTTTGTGCTTATTTTTTTAATTTTTTTTTAAAGATTTTTATTTATTTGTGAGAGAGAGAGAGAGCACAAGCAAGGGGAGCGGCAGGCAGAGGGAGAAGCAGACTCCCTGCTGAGCAGGGAGCCTGATGCGGGGCTCGATCCCAGGACCCTGGGATCACGACCTGAGCCGAAGGCAGCCGCCTAACCGATGGAGCCACCCAGGTGCCCCTATGCTTATTTGAAATAAGACCCTAACGTGTCCTGTAGCCGGCACACAGGCCGGCCGGAATCCGGGTGAAGGGCAGCAGCAGCAGCAGCTTGTCAGTAGGAGCTGCAGAGCCGTGTGGATCACCCCAGGCAGCCCACAGGCAGAGGGGCCAGAGCCGGATGTGTGCCCCAGGCCAGGTATGGGTGGCTGTAAATGTGTATAAAGCCCAGTGCCTCCGGGCTTCTGCTGATACGGCAGGTGGAGCCTCATGCACTTCTAGTTGTTCTAGAATAACTAACCTGTGGAAAGCTCACTGTAAGGGCAGTAAAGAAAGGGTAGGGTTTGGTTGGTTGGTTGGTTGGTTTTAAAAAGCCACTGTGGTCGAAAGCAAGGGTCAGCAAACATTTTCTGTAAAGGGCTCAACAGTAAATAGCTGTTTTCGCCTCCACGGCCCCTGTTGCTTCTCACGTCTGCCCTTGTCGAAGAAAGGCAGCCATAGACAGCACGTGACTGCGCGAGCATGGCTGTGTCCCAGATAGACCTTCTTTACAGAAGTAGGTGGCAAACTAGGTTGGGTCTGAGGGCTACCTAGGTCTAAAGAGGCGATTCTCAACAAGGGGCAATCTGCCCCTCCCAGGGGACATTTGGCAACGTCTGGAGACGTTATTGCTACTGGCATCTAGCAGGCGATGGTGGGGGATGCTGCGGAATGGCCCGCAGTGCGCAGGATAGCCCCACAACAGAGAATGGTCTGGCGCAAAATGTCAGTAGTGCCGAGGTCTAAAGAAACCAGAGGGGAGTGGAAAGGGTGGGACTTAGTTGGACCTTGGAGGGTGAGCAGGGTTTATAAGAGCAGAAGGGTGCGGGAATAGCGGGAGCAGTACCGGGCAGGAATGGGCTCTGAGTGTGGGAGGGGTCCTTGGGGAGAGGGGGTGTGGAGGGAAGGAGTAGACCTCTCTCCCCTGCAGGCAGAGTTTTGCACAAACCAAAGTCTGCTTGTGGGCATGCCGGGCGGGGGTGGAGGCCACATAACAGAGGTGTGGCCAGCCGCAGGGATTTGACAGAGCCACTGCTGAATAGGCAGTTTATCATTTGAGATTCTTGCACAGGGGAGTTAGCTGATTGGGCAGTTTTTGAGGATGAGTCACTTGGGTCCAGGGTTGGAGTGAGAATGGGTTGGAATGTGGAAAGGCCCAAATGTGAGGAGCACTGAAGGCCGGAGTCCTGGGGCTCAGCTAGAAGGCATGCCAGCAGGAAAGAGTCTAACGCCGCTCTGGTGTGCCTACGTCTAAATTTGCACATTTTGGAAATGTTCATCTTTGCAGATCAGATAATAAATACTGAAATTTTGGCACTGGTCCTGTTCTTGTTGGCTTGTAATTTTTCAGTAGTGCATGTAGCATTATTTCAAAACGGTATCCAGTGCTTGCCTTTCTTCAGTGAAAATAAGAATTATAAAAGTTAGGTATGCATATATCACATCCTCTATGGATGGAGTGTTGTGAGCCAATTCACAATAATTGGTTTTAAAAGACCAAGAAAGTTCAGTATTCTGTGCCTCAGTTTTGATTTTGGCCTCTGTTACTTGCTTAGCATTTTCCCCCAAGAGGTAACACTAGAAATAGGTATTAAATTATATTAAATGGCTTGGTTGGCTTCAATTAGTTATAATACATTTGTTAAAGTTTCTTTCTTCTATCTTACAATTTAATATAAGTTCAAAGCTATCAGCTAAATAGAGGGGCAGCATTTCATTTGATTTGAAGATAAATAAAACATTTTGTTCTCTACAAATCAAGAGTTTCTTATAAATTGATAACTTTTAGGAATAAGAAAATTGAGAGTGTCTTTGCATGCATTTTTGTTCCACTTGAGTATTTACTTGCAAAATTCTACACAGAGGTCAAATGAAGTGAAATTGAGGACGAGCACAGCCTGAGTATATAAAGCCATGAATTCAGTAACCCTGGAGAAGAGATATTCATGTTTCGTTGTGCCTGTGGTAACATAACGGAATTATTTTTCCATAGCACTTCTCCTATACCTCTTTCTCCTGCTCTGATTACTACCTTTTTCTTCCGTAGGATTATGGAATGTGGGAACGGGGAGATAAGACTAATCAGGGCATTCCAGAATTGAATGCAAGCTCTGTAGGGATGGCCAAGGTAACACTCTTGACCTGTTTGTTCTTCCTTCTGTGCATTTCTACTGCTTTGATTTGGTTCTCAGTCTTTAGGGGTTTGGATTTAATCTGATTAGCATATTTTTCAAAAGTCGGCTGCTAGTATGAAATTCAAGTGGCACATATACCCCAGCCTACTGAGATTACAGGTAAAGAATGTAGGTTTCCTTACCCTGAAATGTGCATGAGCCAGAAATTAAGCGCCCTTCTTCCTCATTATCCATTATTATCACCCACAGGTCTAAGGTCTTGCTGTTGTCTGAGCACCTGGATGTGTGATATCCAGTCGTCTTTTCTGGGTTATAAAGAAGGTTGAAGAAAATAACCGCTTTGTAGGGCAGGGCTTACAAGTTCAAGTCTATGGGGTCAGGTCAGGCAAGTAACATAAACAAATGAAGCAGGCCAGACAGAAAAATATTGAAGGGTACTGGGGACATTGGGAACTTTCTCTAAAGGTATTCCAATTCAAAATCATTTTAAAAATTTCTTTAGGCCGAACAGAACACGGCTGTGGGGCAGATTCAGTCCGCCAGCCACCAGTTTACATCTCTTGTCCTAGACATTTCCCTCCCTCCCGCTCAAGACTGAAGTATATCCTTGGATAGAATAAAGACTCTAGAGCTAGAATTTTCAAAGCAACAAGAAATATGTTCGGTGAAGGTCAACTGACAGAAAACGTACTTAATACTAAAAGAATTAACTTTAAGTGGCAGACATGCTAATGTTAGAATTAACACAAAGGTGAAAGAAAAGCTGTCCGTGAATTTAGTGCGCTCCTCCCCCCCCCCCCCCCCCGCCAATGTTATGAACTTGTTAATATTTTATTTTTCGGTCAAATACTGACTTCATTTGGGGAAATGTTTGTCTATTTTCTCTTTCTTGTTTCTGCAAAGAGCAGCAACGTACAGGAAAGGCCCGATTCCACTGAAAATAAGGATAGAACATGTCTCTAGGACACTTCAGCTGAATTTTAAAGATGTGTATTTCATCACCTTTGGCAAAACATGTATGCTAGATCGCTTAATGGGAAAGGAGGAATACTGGATATGGGCATGTATGTTTACTAGAAAGAAAAAGTGATTCATACCTGTGCTTGTAGGCAGCTCTTGAGGCAATTGATGAACTGGACCTTTTTGGAGCCCACGGAGGACGCAAGTCCGTGATCCACGTCCTGCCTGATGACGTCGAACACTGCCAGGTAATAGCTCCAGCCTCTCATGGTCTGGACAGGAGGGAAGGAGACTGATGGAGTAGAAGACCTGGGCTCCGGTCACATTCCTCACCTTTCTTTCTTTCTTTTTTTTTTAAGATTTATTTTTAAGTAATTTCTACACCCAACATGGGGCTCGAACTCACAACCCTGAGATCAAGAGTTGTGTGCTCCACCGACTGAGCCAGCCAGGCACCCCACACTCCTCACCTTTCTAGCTTGGTGGTACTTGGCTTCCTTGAGCTTCAGTTCCCTCATGCATAAAATGGGCATACTGGCACCTTCCCCTCCTATCGCACAGAGTGGTTGTAAGGATCAGAGTAAATCAACTTAGTTCGTCAGAGCACCCTGCAAGCTGAGAAGTACTGTGTAAACCTAAGAACGATGGCGAAGTATATATATATGGAGTCAACAATCACAGCAACCTTGTTTGGCTGGAGGCAAAATCTGGTCTGATTTTTGAGCATATAGGTGGTTTCCTCTCAAGTTTCTTTCATGATGCCACCAAATTGAATGACCGGCAAGCAGTAGTTCACTTGGGGAGGGGTGGAGACGGGTGGAAAGGATAGTGGAGGAGAGATGAGATGGGAGAAATGACAAATTAGTAGAACCTGCATGAAATACAAGTCAGAGAAAGGAGTGATTTCTTGCAGATTAGGGGACTCCATTGAACAGACAGTAAGTCACCCGTTGCTGGTCAGTCAGCAAACTCTTAGTGAGGGCCCACTGTGTGCCATATCCCGTGCTGGGGTTATGGGAGTGAGAGCCGTGTAAACTAGTTAGCAGAAAGCTTCTGGAGGGAGTGTGTGTTTCCAGGCAGAGAGCTTAAGGGAGAGCAGCTAGTTAAAGAACTGGGCTTAGGGGTCAGTTCGCTTGAGAAAAATGAAGCTTTATTCTGCAGCTGAAGGGTTCCCCATCTTTACCCCCTTTGCAGCTCATCCATTTTCCCACAATAAATAGTCCTTAATGGGGACTCTGCTGTTTCTTGGGCTACAGTTTAATAGAGTCGAGCTGATGTGTATCTTAATAATGCCTAGTCCCTAGTGGAAACTGTGTGAGCTCTGTAGCCAGCTGGGCCTGGCTTAGGATCCTTGTTCTGTCACATGAGGCTCTGTGTCTGTGTCTCAGCCCTCATGCGTGAACTGGACAGAGTATCCAAATGCCTTCTTTATAAAATGGAAAAAAAAAATATGTTAACATTTATTTATTTATTATTTATTATTTATTCTAGGAATGCAAAATTGGTTTAACATCTGAAAATCAATTAATGTAGTACACCGTGTTTATATGAGATTTAATACGCTTATGTTTGCAGGGCTCTAGCCCCGTGTCTGTACACATTAGATCCCAAAGTCAGCTCCCTTCCCTTCCCAAACTTATCATTTCACCTTCCTTTAGTTTACAGTGCCTAGTCCAACCACCTTATAATTGAGGCTATATTATAGTGCCACTAAGTAACCCTAGTTCTAGGATTAAAGTAATTCTGTTATTTACCATTTTGCCTGAGTGTTTGTGTGGTCTCTTGGATTTGACTCCTTCACATGGGTTTTGATCACCCAGTCATGTTCCACAGAAGCCAGACATTTCTCTGTGCTGGCCCTGTATGTGTATTCTTCTCTGTCTTTATTTTCACAGCCAGGACACCCTGGCCTGCTGACACAGTAGCCCTTAGTTCCTCCCCTGCATGTCCGAAAGACACAGCAAAGTCAACAGAAGGCCCCCAAGGGAGGGAGCCCAGCAGTTCTCAGCATGGGCTCCAGGCAGTACTGTGCTCTCCCTGACCCTCTCCTCTCCTGCGAGAAACAGGAGTCATTGGCTGGGCAGGTGAGGTCCCCCAGTGGGGGCCGTATTGGTAGGAAAAAGCTCTGCTCAAAATCGGCAAACTCGTTTAAATGTTTCTTGGGTCTAAGGTCATGGTCTCTAGATACTGTATGCAACTGTTCATGCTTCCCAGATTCAAGCCACCTCTTTGTTTCTCATTCAGTCTATTCTGTTCTCCATGCTGCCAAGAGCATCAACATCTAAGGAGATTGACGCTGGACTTCTTTCCATTATCTCTTTCCCGGCCTTTGCAGTGGAAGATGTGAACCTCGTGAATGTGACCAAAAATGAAATTATTTCCAAGCTCCAGGTAAGGGTTGATCATGCTGGTGCCCTTCTGCCCTGTGTTAAGTGCCCCTTTCATGATGACATGGAGCAGTTCACCCAGGCCTTGGTTCTCCATGAGGTCAGTGGCTTGGTTTATCTAGGCGGAATCCAAAGCCGAGTGTACGGGTGAGAAAACAGTCTCAGACTGATCAAGTGCCCTAGTTCTTTTCCTGGTAGCAGAGCTTGAACTCCAGCCAACTCCATAACCTTTGAACCCCAATTCGTACCCCTCCTGTACTTCTAAAGCAGAGTTTCTTAACCCTTTAGAGATTACAGACTTCTTTGAGAATCTCTTGAAAGGTATAAGGTCCCTGCCAGAAAAAAATGTACACGTCCCAATATCCTCCAACTTTACACACAATTTCTGGGGGGTTGACAATCCCAAAGTTAAATCGAGCTTAAGAAAATCCCTGCTCTGAGGTGAAATGCAGGAACTATGACACAAGATACCAAACTGAGAATGTTATTAAATAGCCCAGGCAACTGAACTTCTCAGTAAAATGATCAAGATGTAAGTTTTCTTTAAAAAAAAAAAAAAAAAAAGTAAGTTTCTTGAGCCAAAATCTTCATGTTGATGATCCCACTTAGATTCCGTAAAAAATGCTTTTAGCCCTTGGATACAAAGGGATTGAAGGGTCTCCAGTCATATCCCCAAAGAAGCTATCTCATGGTTTCGTGGAGAAAAAGGAAGCTCTTTTAGCTTGTCCCAGTAGGCAGGGAGTCAGTGCAGGGAATGAAGTGTTTAAAGGAGGCAGGTTCTTGGCTGGGCCTCCCCAGAACTCCCAGAACTCTATGGGGCTGGCCGCTAGGAGTGCGCCGGCCTCTGCAGCCAGTGCCAAAGGAGCCCCCACGCACTTAAGAAACTGGGGAATGGACACCCAACACTGTGATCCAGGGACTAGGGAGGCAGATCGAGGCCTCAGTGCCACCATCCTTCTTCCTTAACACCTAGGAAGCTGGAGAGGATTACTGGAGCCTGCCCCAAGAAAACCAGCAGCAAGAGCCCTAGGCCAGAGGAAGCCCCACCCACCCCACCCTGCCTCTGCTTCCACCTCGCTGCATCCAGAGCCTAATTGTGAGGAGTCTGGAATGTCCTTTTGGTTTTCCAGTCTTTCAAGTCAAAGTAGTCCAATCCAAGTATCTGCCCTGATGGCTTCTGTGAGCGATGAGGGTCCCTCTGCATCTTTGCGTGATACAGCCAGTCAGAATGAGGGCTGGTCATTCTGTGAACTGAGTAATTACTCTCCCAGCCCTGATACTCAAATGGGAAGTTTTGGCATTCCCTTCTCGGCACTGATCAACCCTGAATTTCCTTGGCTTATTACTTAAAAATAACTTTTTGTATTGATAACGAAGAGCACTTGGTACACATTTCATTACTAAAAGATTCATGGGAATGGGGGTGAAGGGCCAACATGAATCAACATAAAAAGACAAAGAAATTCTTCTCTTTCATCAAATGCACTTTTTTTTTTCTTTATCTTCTTAGGGCCGTTATGGATGCTGTCGCTTCCTTCGAGATGGTTATAAAACCCCAAGAGAGGTTGTATTTAAATATTGTTTCGTATGATTCCTTAACTGCTTCATATTTAAATCACCACTGTGGTGTTCTCCCTCTCTTGATTATAAAATTACATGTTAGAATATTGGACAGGGAAGTCTTAATTTTGGAGACAGCAAGGCTGGAGTTAGGCAGTAGAATAATAAGATCATCAGGAGGACAGCAAGCTGGTGGTTTAAAACCAGCCTGTAGGCAAGGACAAACAGTTCTGTGGCTCACATGATGTGTTCAAGAGCAACTGTGGCCTCCCTCTCGAGTTGCTTTGCCATAGTGACTGATAGAGTGATTGCAGTGAAACAGATAGTCTGCTGAGCACTGTGATAGGAAAATTGCTATTTATTTGTTAGCAATCTAGGAAGCTTAATATAATAAACCACCAAGGAGTCTTGTGTACATTTCTGATAGACGTTTCTGAAATTTGACCATGGAAAGCTGCCAGAAATAACATCTCCCCATTATAGCCAACTCCTAATCCTAGCAGCCGCAGAGATGCAGTGATTCAGAAAGCCAGGGAAGCCCAGTGAGGTACAGGGGAATTATATATGTAATCTGACAGCACCTTTCAGAAGGTTTCCTGTTTGATTCCAGGACCCAAACCGATTACATTATGACCCTGCTGAGCTCAAGCTCTTTGAAAACATTGAATGTGAATGGCCTGTGTTCTGGACGTATTTCATAATAGATGGGGTCTTCACGGGAGATGCCGTTCAGGTGAGAACATGCTGGGTGCTGTGTTGACAATCAGCATTTTCATTCCTTCGGTGTGCTGCGTGTTATTAGAACATAAGGTTATGCAAGAATTTAGGGCACCGTTTCAGTTATCTGTTGTCGCTTAACGAGCTTTCCCAAAATGTGGTGAATTAAAGCAACGGCTATTTTGTTTATTTGCTCATGATTCCACAATCTGGGCAGGACTCAGCAGGGACAGGTTGTCTCTGCTTCGCTTGGTGTCAGTTGGTTCACTGGGGCTTGGAGGATCTACTTCCGACATGGCGTCACTCACACGGCCGGCAGCTTGATGCTGCTCTTGGCCCAGGCCTCGCTTCGCCTCCATGTGGCTAGCTTGGGCTTCTCACAGGGTTGTAGTGTCTGAGCAGTGAGGCTTTTCACCCGAGAATGCACAAGCAAGAGCTGCTAAGCTTTCTTCAGGTTTAGGCCCCGAACTGGCAGTGTCCCTCCTGTTGCATTTTTTTTTTTTTTTAAGATTTTATTTATTTATTTGACAGAGGCACAGCCAGAGAGGGAACACAAGCAGGGGG